CTCTCTCTCTCTCTCTCTCTCTCTCTCTCTCTCTCTCTCTCTCTCTCTCTCTCTTTCTCTCTTTTCAAAGAAAATATATGTATTGAAGAATGTAGGAAGAATGTAGAAAAATGTAACAGGATTTAATAATATACATGGTTTTATTTTTCTTACATGACTTATAGATATTATTATTTATTATCTCTAAGGGAAAAATAGCGCTTTATTGAATGTCATAACACTATACATTATCTACTCTCAAAACGCCGCTAGCCGTTTGTGTATACTACATTTACTGCGCGGAATTATACTTGTATTTGTAAATAGCAAATTCTCGTTACGTCGCTCATGGTCGTATTCGCGGAAGCTAGTTAAATATTCAGTCCACATCGACAAAATTAATTAGTCACACGAATTTATTTTAGTTGAAAATCGTTATCGTTATCGAATGCTATGTGTGGTTTGCTTTGGCTTTGCAAACATTTACGTTAATTAATTAGTAACGTAAAATAAAACTATCTAACAACGTAATTTTACGGAAATATTGTTGGAGAAGTTAAGGTATAGCTGATATCCGCATTCAAATAAGCGTTATCAACTATTTGCATGTCTGTGTTTATAATTCGCGTAACGTTTGAAGAGTGTGACGTGCTGCTTTGAATTTGAGATTTCGACAAAATCTGGTTCTTAATAACAAAAACTACATATTCTTGAAAAAATACATATTCACGTTTAACTACCTTGTCGTGGGTCAGATATAGTGAAATGTCACAACCTATTTTGGATCCTGGTCAACCTAGAATGAATAAAATGTTTCCGTCTCAGGGAAAAGATCAAGGATACGTGTTGGCAAACGAGTTACATATAAAAAATGTTATTCTTGAGGTAATCCGGGATCCGGATTTTCAATGGGGTATGTTGTATGTGAATGTTATATGTATAAACGGATCCCGCTCCCATGATCCTATTCTTGGAACCGAAATATCTTTTTGCTATTTTAACTGCATCGCGCTGTATTCAAATTTAAATTGCAGTTTACGCGCTAACAAGTGCAGCGCGCTTCCATAAAATTACGCTTAATTACTAGGTTGTACTGGACGCTACGTTCTACGCTTTTGCAAATAAAAGGATGACCGACTCGTTAAACATCCGTGTCATTAAACATTTCATTTTTCCCTTGTTTTCTTTCAACACATTTTCAGTTTCTGTAATCTTATCCGTGCTTTCTCCATCGTTTTGTAACGCGAATAAACATTGTTGAGACGTCATACATATTTCTTTATATAGAATACGTCATGTATATAAATTTACTAAGATTTAAATTTAATTCATTTTAGTATATTAGTTATTTATTATTTATATATTATTAATTATAATTATTTATTATTTACACCTATTTAATATTTTTTATTTATATTAAATAAGATATTTATAGAATAATAAATTGTTTCCTTTTCTTTTTTGTATAGCTTTTATCTTCATAATAATAAAACAGAAAAATAAACAACAGAAAAAACTACATAATGTAGTTTGACTACATTATCTAAATTAGGAATAGTCAGTAATGAAAAGATAAAATAACTTGACAAAGATGCAAATGTATTACGTAGACTCGAAAATTATACTACAAGATTCAAAGGATTGCTTAATTTCGTCGCGATTTCGTAGATGGCGAATTTAATTGGACAGGGTACCAATGTATCTAATTAATAAGCACAATGTTGCTCGCAATCCAGAAATGACGGCTACACTTTCATATCTACTTTTAGTACGTGATATGAACGATACATGGTTTTGACATCAACACGATAATTATTCTGAATGTCGTTAGGATCATCGTAAGAACCTACAAAATTCGCGTATATTAAATCTAAATGAGATACTAGAATAATCATTAAGTCGCACTACGAGAAAATAAGTCAACTTGTATGTCATAATATTTATTATTCAAAAATGCGTGTCCTCCCTATATAATTTATAATATTTCGTAAGTAACTTTGTCTATAATTTTTCCAATCGTCTTAATAATAACGAAATAATGTGTTATACAACATATGAAATCATTTTATTTATATCAATAATATCAGATAAAATTTTATGAAAAGACATAAGTGAATGTGTAGATGTAAGTACAACGCAATATTTTTCGCATATGATATAAAATTCTTCATTTTCGAACACAGAGAAAACGAGCTTACACTTTTTATTCTGATTTATGTGAATTTTGAGGATATAACAGGAAAAAATAGTTTAATTCTTTTATATGTCAGAAAGCAGCGATAAAAACGTTAATATCTTAACAAATATTTCGATTTAAGGCGGTTCTTTCTGTTGCTAACAAACACGAATATATAACTGTTATATTGTCATAATGTAACGAAATGTAACACGCAATATAATACGAATGTAATAGATTATATATACACGTTAGTAGTAATTTCCTATTTATATAAATTACAATTATATAACGTTAATATAACATATAATTAACGTTAATATAACATGTTACTAAAAGATTATATAGCGCAGTTATATATACAGTTATACAGGGTGTTCGGAAAGTACCGGGACGCCCGAATATCAGGAAAAATATAAGTTTTACAAAAAAATGTTTCAAACAAAAGTTGTGGCGTTTAAAAAGATGTATTTACTGATCACATCAGTTTGACCTTGGGTTGCGTAGCGAAGGTCAGGTCAAGGTCACATTAATTTTTTTAAAT